ACACGAATGAAATAAAAACTGCATATATTGCCTCATGAAAAGTAAAAAAGCAGCTTACATACATGCTACTACTGGGCACAGGCTGTAGAGTTTTTGGCCAAAAAAGAGTTCGCTGCACTGATTCCAACTCGGGATGAACGCAATGTAAATCATTTAATTATTTACATCGTATATTCAGTAGCATTGTATTATTTCATTTTATCAATGTCTTGCCATTTTAATTTATTTAGAAGTAAGTAGGTGGCGCTAATATTACATTAAATAATGAAAGCCAAAACTATACCATCTAGTAATATCAGTCAATAAGGGATAAAATAATGTCAATTCTCTTAAAAGTTCTGTTTCTGTTAAAAATAAGCTACTCGTATCAGCGCCGCTAGCGGTGAAAAACGATAATGATATCGTCATATGACCATATTATGAAATAGCAACGTTGTGTTTAGTTACTAATAACTTCAAAAGATTTCTATTCATTGATTTGGTTAAGCTATATCATGACACGGTCATCACATAGTGTTAAATACACATTCATTTCAGTCATTTTTTCAGTGTTTTCACGAAATGATAGACTACTTTATGATATATGATCAATTCTACGATCTAGCCACGACATACATAAAAATCTCTTTAATAAAACTATGATGATAATGAAAATTTTACAACAATTGCAGACAGACCAATTTTTATCACTTTACATATATATTAGTAATTGAAATAAATACCTTATCAATTTTCATATTTTTGATAGACGTCACTATTATCTATTGAAATTATTACACTTTTAAAATAAAATAACAAAAATACTAAAAAACTGAACGTTACACTTTTTTAATAATTTTAAAAATCTAATAATTTAATCATATAAATGTAAGTTATTTATATTATTTCATTTATTAGTAACTGAAGGCAAAATATACAACTTTTTCCATTTGATGATAGATGGCGCTGTTTTGAATACGAAATCGGTGTAGTTTCAAATTATTTTACCAAGATTATAACTATATTTTAAACTTTATTTACAAATATGGTAATATGGTATTTAGTTGAAAAACACCCGTCATTCCGCCTATAACTAAGATACAACAGAAAATTAACATCTAAAGAAAATTAATATACTTAACCATCCTTTTTTGAAGTTCCGTAATCGGATAAAAAGTAGCCTATAAGTTGTCCCGGGTTACCGACTACCTACATACAAAATTTCATGTAAATCGGTTCAGTAGTTTTTGCGTGAATCCGGAATACACAGACAGACAGACAGACAGACAGACAGACAGACAGACAGAAAGACAGACAGACAGAAAGACAGACAGACAGAAAGACAGACAGACAGAAAGACAGACACAGACAGACAGACAAAAATTCTAAAAACCACTCATTTGGATTCAGAACCCTTTATTTAGTCCCCTGGACTTGTTTTTTCAAGAATATATTAGAATTACAGACACGACTTTTCTACAGATTTATTATATGTATAGATAAGAAATGATAAAAAAATATTGATGCAAGCGAAACCTTTTGTCCGCATTCAAGAAGGTACCGAAGGTAAGGGCCAATGTCTAAGGGCCTCTGTCAAGTTAATAAAATGTGTAGGTGTATGAACAGACAACACTTAAACTTGTTTTTTTCTTATTTATATATATATATATGAGAGGGGGCTAAGAAGCATGCGATTCACCTGTTATTGTAAATCGCACAGTGGCGGACCGCCAAACATCCAGATGGTATGAATGGTATCGTGGGTTCTGTCGCAATGTGCGATCGTGAAATTGAGCGGCTGGAATTAGTCCGAACAATTCCTCCGCATTATAAGCATTTTATAAAATAACTGACGAAAACAAAAAAAAAACAACGAAATGTCAACATAGCCGAAAAAGGTCGTAACTGAAAATCGCAGTTACACATAGCCGAAAAAAGTGTTAGCTAGCCGAAAAAAGTGGTAACTGAAAATTCGCAGTTACATATAGTAAAATAGTGTTAGCTAGCAGAAAAAATTGGAAACTGAAAATTCGCAGTTACATATAGTGAAAAAGTGTTAGCTATCCGAAAAAAGTGGTAACTGAAAATTCGCAGTTACATATAGTGAAATAGTGTTAGCTAGCCGAAAAAATTGGAAACTGAAAATTCGCAGTTACATATAGTGAAAAAGTGTTAGCTAGCCGAAAAAAGTGGTAACTGAAAATTCGCAGTTACATATAGTAAAATAGTGTTAGCTAGCCGAAAAAATTGGAAACTGAAAATTCGCAGTTACATATAGTGAAAAAGTGTTAGCTAGCCGAAAAAAGTGGCAACTGAAAATTCGCAGTTACATATAGTAAAATAGTGTTAGCTAGCCGAAAAAATTGGAAACTGAAAATTCGCAGTTACATATAGTGAAAAAGTGTTAGCTAGCCGAAAAAAGTGGTAACTGAAAATTCGCAGTTGCATATACTAAAATAGTGTTAGCTAGCCGAAAAAAGTGGTAACTGAAAATTCGCAGTTGCATATACTTGATAATAAAGTTTTATTAACAGTGTTGCCAAGTCTAGCTTAGTTAAAATCGCCAACCTTCGGTCAAAACTTCAGCCCATTTTGACCGGAAGTGGCAAATGCCGAAGCTTCAGTCCAATACTAATACTCGATAAAAAAGTGTTATTAACAGTGTTGCCAAGTCTAGCTTAGTTAAAATCGCCAATAGCTTGAAGAATAACATAGCCTAAAGTCACCCAAGTTTTAAAGTGATATTTCTTCTTAAAAATTTAATTGAAATTTTTTGATGTCGACTTTCATACCATGCAATTGAAGCAAACGATTCGTAGTTTGTAATGCGTACAGCGACGTAGTAGAATTTTACGTGGCAGAGCCATGCTGCAGCTATATTATGTTTGTAGCACGAATGGGTCTGCTCGACCAGAGAAGGATAAGGAATACCATATCACACAATACTGGAAACGAGGTATTCCATCTTAGTCCTCAGGGATGGCAACGCATCTGTATTTTGATTCTTAATCGGGGACAGGTGTAGATGTTTATGGGCCACAGCATCCACTCACCATCAGGTGGACTGTGTGCTCCTTTCCTATTGTTATTTTATATAAAAAAAGTTCCAGCATCTGCCTTTTCATGCAATTACAATGTAGTTGTCTTTAAAGCAAAAGTGAATAGACTTTTGTCTAGCTAAGTCAATTTGCTTTACTATCTTAGACTGCATCACCACAGTCAAGTGGGTTAATAGCCACATATACTGGCTTATATGTGTATTTAGTTTTCAATAAGAGAGTGGGTAATCGAGCATTTTTTGGTTTTTGAGCATTGTTTGACCGCTATGTGTGTGTGTTTCTGTCTATTGCACCGTGGCTCTTAAACGGGTTAACCAATTTGGGTGCCGTTTTTTTGGTTGTTTGAAAGGGGACTTCATCGAGAGTGTTCTTAGCTATGATTCAAGAATTTTTTTTCTTTAAATCGTTTGAAAATCATCAGCTCTTTATCACGTTGTTAGTAGTAACTTAAAATAAGAACGTACAATTTTCAATTAAATATTATATCACTGTTTTATAGATACATATTCTGTTCGGGTCGGTCGGGTCTGGTCGGATAGTAATTGATTTTAAACTTTCTTCCCGATATGCTTCAGACTTGAAATTTTGAACATAGCTCTTTTTTACATGGTAGAGCCATACTGCAGCTATATTTCACATGGTGCTGCAGCTATATTAGAAGTATAGTTGTAGCACGAATGGGTCGGCTCGACCGAGGAAGGACCATGCTTTCACAGAATACCAGCGTAAAATAGCAGTTTAACACAGCTGTGTTTCGTATGGTGAGTGTAGAGAACCGAGATCCTTTTTACTTGGCTCTACCACGTAATATAGCTGCAGCTTGGCTCTACTACGTAATAAAAAATTATAATAAACAAAACATTACTTTAAACTAAATATACTAAAAGTTCACTAAAAATGTTTCCTTTTCATAAGACACGCCGGGCGACGACAATAGACGGATAGGACTTCAGAGTTTACATAAGCAAGTTATGCTTACATACGTATTAATATTATGTATACTGTAAGGAAATGGACTATTATTGTGCTACGTCGGACTGTGGAGCTTATAATTATGATTTTATAAATATAATTTTGTAGGAAAACCAATTATAAATTGACTTAAGAGTACGGTCGCGGTGCTGTAGTGCCGCGGGTTCGAATACCGCACTAACTGTTTGTATTGTATGGCCTACCAAATAATTATCAAGGGTTTGGATGTGCAATTTATGTAGTTAAATGTAAACAGCCTCTACGATACAGGAGAGAATCTTAATGTGGAATTAACTTTTTTTTAAATTACGGATTTTCCTACAACTCTAAAACTAAGTAGGTAGCGCAAATACGGAGATGACTACAAATGTGTGCTACTTGCTGTAGAGACTATCGGTCCGTGGGGTACTGTATAATTTAAGTATTTAGTTTTAGTTTTATTATACTTTTAAAATATTGCATATATATTTTAATGTTATTTAAAAAAAGAAAATAAATAAGTAAATAACAAAATTGCACGCATAAAGTATATAAGACTTAAGACAGTGAGATATACCATCTAGGGCTTCATCCCCACTTACCACCAGGTGAGATTGTGGTCCAACACTGGATTATAATAAGTATTGAGACGGCTCCGTGGCGCAGTGGTTTAGCTTTGAGTTGCGACCAAGCTTGCTACATCGTAAGACCAAAATATCTGGATAATTTTTGAAAATGTCGGGAATGTCGGGATTTTGGAGTGGTTGTCGGGAGAAATAAATATTTAAAAAAAATATTTTTTAAATTAAGAGGCTACAAAAAGACAACATTGTTGACACAACTAATTTAAATAAACTTCATTTTTAGGATTTTAGGAGGTCAAACAAGTATATTGTATGGCCTACAATATAAGTGTTTCAGGTCTGGATGTTTGTCCTCGTGCAATTTATGTTTGTAAATTGCCTCCACGACAGATATCGATTAAAAAAAATAACAAAATCTTCAACTAACCTTTTGACCACGCCCTCGTCAAACTTCGCCTTCAACGCTTCTCCAACCTCTTTCTCGTTGAGGTAAATGTGTGCGCAGTCGATGTGCCGATAGCCGATGTCGATTGCCTCCTTCACAGCCTGCGTCACCTCGCCAGGTTTGGACTGTAACAATAGATCACATTAATTATCATTAATAGCAGCTTAATACTACTGCTGTATGTATGGTGAGTGTAGAGAACTGGAGAACCTTTTTACTGGAACTTATCTCCAGCATTACATCTCAGTCCTCACGGGTGACAACGCATCTGCATCACAGCAACCACTTACCATCAGGTGGACTGTGTGCTCGTTTGTCACCCTAATTCTATAAAAAAATTCGGTTGACCCTGATCTCTAGAACTTCCCGCTTATTTTCGAGTGCAACGCCCGGAAATCTATTTAATTATTGTGTTTTTGTTTTTTATTTTTTGAAAATCTTTGAAACGGCTCGACCGAATGACTTGAAAATTTAATCAGCTCGAAGTCTCGATGAAGACTTTCGAACGCCGTGGCGCCCATCTTGATCGGTTGGTTCCTTCGAAAGATATCGTACGACAACATTTTATTTACATAGGTAGCTTCGTTGCGCCGGTAAGCCGACCGGGTCTAGTTTTCGGCCTTTAGCACCAGGTGACGCAGTAAATTTTAACGATTTTAACAAATATTATCGTACAAAATTAAATTAATGCATTTGTGAATAGTTGCCTTATATATTGCAACATTACTTCATCGGGTAAACACAACACGCGATTTATAATAAATAGTTCAGTTCGACGCCGGCACAAGAGCTGTCAAAGTGGGAAAGATCGTGCAAAAAAAATTGTGGCGCGCGTTTCACTCAAAAGTAAATTTTGCGCTGTATTTACAATTATTATTTAATATTGTGCTTATATTCCACTGTATAAATAACTCTATTTTAAATTTTCACATATAATACTATAATATTTTATTGTAAAAGTTAATAAATTAGGTGGCCGGAAAGTGACACATACAATTTTCCTATTATTTGATTATCGGCCATGTGGCCGGAAAGTAGCCCGAATTTAGCCTAAATACTTTGTCTCTTTCATTTATTTGGTTACCTACTATTAGTCTTCTTTCTTATTTATAATGAATTGTATCCTTGCGAAGACAATAGCTTTCAGTTTTCGGCCACCAAGTACTGCAATTTGAATGGTTATTGGTGAAACTAAAATACCCATTTTAGTTGTGGCCGAAAATTAGATTGAGACTAAAATTATTATTTAGTTTTCGGCCAACTTAAAATTGTATGAAAGAATAGAGAAGCCGAAAATTGGATACTGCTTTGGTTGACTGACATTTCAAGAAATATTTCATTCACGTTGCATTTTAGGAAGAAGATTCAATAAGACATTATTTACTTCAGATGGCTCCTCCAAAGAAAAATCCTCCGAAGAAATATAATTAGTAAATGGTTTCAGAAAATGTGGAATTAATGAATTTGATCACAATGGCCACGATGATACCACCACCACTAACACGGATGATAACAAACAACGCCTTTGAAACTTTAGAAAATGTGCTGGTTGATATACAAAAAAAAAACAGACTAGTACACCTCTACAAACTAGTGAAACATCGGCTTCAGTACTATTAAATAAAGAATACAGAGATGCGATAGAATAAACATTTATTTAAACCGGAACTCGTAAAAAATCAACCATTAACAGTACACGTACACCTTCTTCTGTAGCAATTTGATATGCAGAGTGGCGAAAACTTTATAAAGATAAAGAGAAAGTTAAAATAGAGAAGGAGAAAGTTAAAATAGAGAAGTTAGAACTAAGTTAAAAAAGGTAAGATATTTTGAAAAAGCAAAGAATACTTATAATAAAAAGAAAAGTTAAAAAGTGCTAAAGTTCAAAAACGAAAAATTGCTAAATCCAAGAAGGAAAATGAAAGAGTAAAAGTAAATTGTACCTGGTGTTAAGACATTTTAATAAGCGATACAGAAGAAGATATGGAAAAAAATTGGATGTGACTTTTGCACCAAATGCATCTCAAACCCATTCCAAACTAACAGGGCGGATTTGCTTCTCGCCGGATGATGAATCGCATACTTATCTACCTGTCTTACGTTACCTAAAGTAACTAAAATTTTGTCGGACTAAAATATGAGGCAGCGTTTGGGAAATTACAGCACATCTTCTCGTAAAGTATACCTCAAAACTTGAAAACGAGACTGTACAACCAGTGCGTGTTGCCAGTGATGACCTATGGAACTGAGACGTGGACCTTCACTGCTGGCCGGATGAGGAAGATCAAGGTTGCTCAGCGAGCTATGAAGAGGGCTGTGCTCGGAGTATCTCTGCGTGATAAACTTAGAAATGAGGATATCCGTAGTAGATCCAGAGTGACCGACTTAACCCAACGGGTTAGTAAGCTGAAGTGGCAATGGGCCAGCCATATAGCTCGAAGAACCGACAACCAATGGGGATAAAAGTTCTCGAATGGCGGCCTCGTACCAGCGGACGAAGTGTAGGGCGTCCCCCCACTAGATGGAGTGTCGACCTGGTAAGACATGCAGGAAGTCGATGGATGCAGGTGGCTCAGGACCGTGTTTTGTGGCATTCCTTGAGGGAGGCCTATGTTCAGCAGTGAACTTGTGAAGGGCTGTAATGATGATGAGAATATGAGGAAGTACAAAAAAAATTAGAAGATTTGATTTCCATATTTAACGACAAGAAATTTTATTATAATTTTACAAAAATTATATTAAGTTAAGGTTAAGGCACCTTTTCTATCGTGTCTAATGCAGTGGCCGAAAAATAAATTCTTGTGGGCCGAAATTTAAAATTTGGGGCCGAAAACTTGCGTTTTACATATTTTTCACATCAAAAATTATTATAAAAAAGAGATTTTTCTTGTAGCATCAATGAGTTACAAAAATGAAAACTACATTATGTAAGCTACAAATTAACATTAACAGCACTAGGTCAGCATAATGGCAATTTTTTCTTTTTTTTAGTATCTTAAATTTAACAACTCCACTAAAAGGACGAAAACCAGCGCAACGACCCTACCTACATACACAGAGACACGACCGGACGTCCAGCCGGGAATAGTCGGAACGGCTTCCTAGGACCTCAAAACGTGGAGATCTGATGACAACTCGCATACACAAAATCGCACCAGAATCTATAACTTCCTACTTTTGAAAATTATTAATTTTTAAAGCGGCAAGTTAAAATAAATCATGTCTTAATCCTTCATACGAGGGGCAACTGATTAGTCCGCGGTTCGAGTTATTAATAACTCATTATCTCACTTGTTAGCACGATTTTGCAACGCTCCTTGGTAACATGAATATAACCTTTCGATAACAAGGTCATTAGCAAATTATCTACCGAAGGACAAACGTCGTTACGTCAGCCGATTCGTAAAATTTCAGTTATATTGAACACCGCGCTGTAATAAAGTACCTACTTCGTAAAGAAAGGAATAACGCCGGAAGTATTTTTGAGACATGTCATCAGTTCTCGCAGTTATAGAGGCCACATGGATACTTCAGTGTGTTCGGTGAAATATGTGAAATTATCCTACAGATATCGATTATCTAACCTGCACATAAATTGTACCCCTTATCGATGGACAAGGCTCTAATGGGTGACTTATGACAAAATTTCAATCTATCAAGTAAATTATTCAATCGTGTAATGACGGTGTAAGAATATCCACTACCCCATATCTTACCGTGGGTGTCGTAAGAGACGACAGAGGGAAACAAATCAGGAGATGGGCAGCAGTCTTCCTAATATAGACTAAAAGTATTGGTAAATCCAATTGGGCATACATTAAGCGCATTAAAAAAATTCCGTAGAACATGGTTACACGGAATTTTTTAAAGTTTAAATACATTTCGACAGCACTATCGGCTTCAACACCCTCGAAAACCATGAAAATGACACCCAAGATGAAAAAATTGATATCTATTGCAGCCGCCATCTTGGATTTACATTTCGACAACCCCTATCGGCTTCAACTCTCTCAAAAACCATGAAAATGACACCCATGATGAAAAAATTAATACCTATCGCAGCCGCCATCTTGGATTTACATTTTGACAGCACTATCGGCATAACACCCTCGAAACCCATGAAAATGACACCCATGATGAAAAAAGTGATACCCATTGCAGCAGCCACCTTGGATTTACATTTTGACAGCACTATCTGCTTCAACACCCGCGAAAACCATGAGAATGACACCCATGATGAAAAAATTGATACCCATTGCAGCAGCCACCTTGGATTTACATTTTGACAGCACTATCGGCTTCAACACCCTCGAAAACCATGAAAATGACACCCAAGATGAAACAATTGATATCTATTGCATCCGCCATCTTGGATTTACATTTCGACAGCACTATCGGCTTCAACACCCTCGAAAACTATGAAAATGACACCCATGGTGAAAAAAATGGTATCTAATTCAGCCGCCATCTTGGATTTACATTTCGACAGCACTATCAGCTTCAACACCCTCGAAAACCATGACCCATGATGACAAAGTTTATACCTATTTCAGCGGCCACCTTGGATTTACATTTCGACAGCACTATCGGCTTCAGCACCCTCGAAAACCATGAAAATGTAACCCGTGATAAAAAAATTGATACCTATTGCGGCCGCCATCTTGGATTTACATTTCGACAACCCTATCGGTTTCAACACCCTCGAAAACCATGAAAATATCACCCATGACAAAAAAATTGATACTACTTACTTTTAGTACGTACTACTGTTATTTATTCTGTGCTTTTAAAATATTGTAAAAAAAATCTCTTATCATTATTATAATCAAGTATTTAAGAAATTTGGTTATTCGAATATTGTGTATTTTTACAGCGATCTTTTTGAGCCGCTGCAAACAACCGAAACAATGTCCACTCATGACGGCGATTGACGCCAAACTTCCTGTATAGGACACTATACTCTTTGCGCCAAACTGAGTGTGAGTAAACTATTCTGTGGCTGTAGCTCCCCATTTACAGAAATAATTTACATACAAGGCTACCAAATCAACGAAAATTTCGCCATTTTGGAGCTGAAAAAAATTAATTATAGCTAAACAAAACAAAATTACACTGCTATTTACAT